TCATATCATTGATTATTGAACTTTGTTACGTGACTTTTACAACATTTATGTTATAATCATATCATTGATTATTGAACTTTGTTACGTGACTTTTACAACATTTATATTATAATCATATCATTGATTATTGGACTTTGTTATATGCCTCTGACAATATTTTTATTAAATTTCTGTAAAAAATAAAGAATTAAAGAATTTTTAACTTTTGAACTCATTCATTTATAAAGTAATATTGAAATGATTTTTCCTTTCTTTTGTTGCATAATTATGTATCATAGAAAAATGTACAATTCTTCGAAGTCTATTATGTTCCATTGTTATCAATTCTTTCATATGCTCATTCAATGGTTCAGAACGAATTAGCATATTAGGATAAGAATTGAATGATAAATGATAGTATGATGTTGAACGTTTTTCACGTACGCGTATTTGTCGTCCTGTAAAAAAAAAAAAAATAAAAGTGTTACAGATAATATTTCATGATTAAATTATGCTCTTTTTCTTTTTCATCATAATTTAATTTTGATTTAATCTAATAATTATAATTTTTGAAATTATCAAATTAAATTTCTTTTATTTTTTTGTTTTTTTAATTCATTTTTCAAATAGCATGGGAGTGAAATTTATACTGCAAATTAATAATTGAAAAGCTTTTTTTTATTTAATACTTACCAAGAATACGATAATTTGGTTTACTAGCAGAAATTATTGCTTCAATCCTTTCCGAATTTCCAGTATTTGTTGATGTAAAATACGAATGGATAGTCCAAAAGAACAAAAAATACTTCATTATGATACAATTACTAAAAAAAAACTTATATTAAATGTATTAGTGTTAATATATTAAACATATTAACATATATTAAATCAGTTAAAATAATTGAGTTAATAAACTAAAAATTATCACATAAACATTTAAATTATCAATAAAAATAACAAAAAAAAAGAAAAAATTCTTACATTAACAATAATGGAAGAAATAATTCTGAAATTTTCGAAGTTTTTGATCGATCGATGTTTAGAAATTTTAGTCGATGATTAAAAAAAGCAGCAACTTTCGATTTTCCATTATGAATCATTCAGATATATCTGGAATTAATTGATTATTAATTAGCAAATTAATTGCATCCAATGGCAAATGTTTGAAATTATTTAGCATTTTATCTTATCAATAATTAAAACTTGCAAATTTACTACTTGAAATATTTCCAATTATTTTTCAAATTTATTATTTAAAATACTTTTAATTATAATAAAAAAAAAAACACTAAATGATCAGCATACTTTTTTATGAGTGGGAAAACAAAAAAGGAAAAAGGAAAAATGACGCTTAATGTAATTTTTCATTTCGATTTTACTTTCGTATATTTTCAATTATTCCATTTCTTCATTTCTAATATTATTTGTGAAAAATTTTAATTTCTTATAATTAAGAAATGTTTTCTTACCTTTTACAATATTTTCTACAAATCAATTCATCCATCATTATTAATTGATTATCAATTTTCAACATTTTTTAATCAATAAAAATATAAAAAACTAACAAGAAATAGGCTGTAAATTTTAGTTAAAAAAATTTTGACACCTATCATTTCAAAAAATCTTTATGATAGCCAGAAAAGTTTGGTAATACTAAAAAAAAAGCGAAAAAATATATATTGAATATCAGAATCAAAATTATTTCATTAAATATATCATTTAATGATTAACATCAATATCTCAATGTTATTTATTAGAAGGTGTTCATTATTTTATAATTTAATAATAAAGTAAGAAATATGGTATTGTTAATATATATTAATTTCTTTTGATTACTAATAACGTATTGTTTTTTATTTTTTTATTTTTCTCAAAGAAGAGATTTTAATTAAAGATTTTTTTTTTGTGTATTTAAGATTAATTACGGCCAAAAATTCGTTTCGCTCATTAAATTTTGGTCAACTTTCTCAGTGTTATTCATTTCATTCATTTTCTAAAATCTGCAATTCATTATCTTTTCCTGGTATAATGATATGATATGATAGATGATAATTCAAGTTCCATTTCCAAAATTTTAATGAATGCATTAATTATTGTATATATAAAGTGGTATGCTAATTTAAGTATGTCAGGTAAGTAAATAATTAGTAGCAATACCTCTCTTTCTCTCAGTAATACTAATAATCCCAAATATATTAAGTGATAAATTAATTTGAGTATATCAGATAAATAACTAACAGTAATATCACTATCTCACTAATACTAATAAGTAATTCCAAATTAATTATATCTCATTTATCATTTCAAACGTATCATTTTTACAAGGAAAAAAAATTCAAAAAGTTTCAATAAATGCTATACTTAAATTCAGAAATCGATAAATAGAAACTGATTTGTTTAACCATTTTTTAAATAATTTTTATTAATAAATTTCACAAAAAAGCATTAAAATTTTTATTGGCCTTTATTTTTCCATTCTTTTTCCCTAACTGTTAATATATAAATTTATTGTTTTTAATTACTAATAATTTTCTCAAATCTTTTCCTTCCATACTATTTAGGTTTTCATTACTGTTGTAATTAATTCCTTTTACTCTGCTCAAAAATAATTAGTGGATACTAATTAACAGATCGAATAATATTGACGGAAAAAATTCAAAACAAAACAAACAAACAAAATATTTTTATAACCTATTTCGAGTTTTTTGTTCTAATTCCATTCCAGTATTATACATAATTAAATTTCAAGCATTAAATACACACTTATATTCAAATACGTAAAAGTATTCATTTTCATACTTACTTATACTTTTATTATTTATTTTACTAAACTTAGATTGTTTAACATTTAACTTGTTTTTTTCTCTAACTAACTTTTATTTACTTTTTTTCGGCTCTTTCCTTTCATCATTTTGTTTGCTCACTTACTTATTCACTCATTTACTTACTTACTTATTTACTTTTCCTCTACTGTTATTATTCACGATTTTTCTTATATGAAAATTTTCATTTATATAATATTTTCATGGAAAATGTTTAAAATTAATTTCAAAACCAAAAAAAAGACAAAGAAAAATGAAAACAAATTAATCCATTTGAGTACATTTAATTGCCGTTTTTTGAACTTATCCAATTAACTTAGCGCAATTGTCCCTACCAATCATTTTACAATAACTTTTTTTTTTTTGGCGCAATTGTCCCTACCAATTATTTTACAACATTTTGTTTTTTCTTTTATTTTTTTTTATTTCTTATCCTTTTTCTTTTAAAAATTTAAGAAAAAAAGCAAAATTTTATTTTTTCATTTTTATTTTAATGAAATGATAGGAGGAAGGATGTAGAAGAATGATGAAAGATAACTGAGATAAGTTTTATTTACTAAATTTATCATTCCGTGGAAATTTTTTCTTCCTTTTCTTTCAGATTTTAATTTATGAATGCAAACTAATTAATTAATAATTAGTAAAAAATTTAATGTTATTGGCAAATAATTGCAAGTTGTACAATAAATAGATAATATATTATGAACCAATAATAATGTGTGTAAAATGACATTGACAATAGTAATGGTAATCAGTAGGATAATATTTGAACTGATAAGTTGGTGTGATAATAGCCAACAGAGTAATATTTGATCTGATAACTTGGTATGACAATAGCCATAGAATAATATTTGTTCTGATAAGTTGATAATAACAGCATGTACTAGTGGTAGTGATAGTGGTAGTTACAGTAATAATAATAGTAGTAGTAGTACAAGTTACAATAATATTGATAATCATTTGTTAAATTATTTTTGCATTAAATTATTTTTTATAATTTTTCATTACAATTAGAATTTTTAAATAAACCTTAAGTAATGATCATAGGAAGGTTGCGTATACACACGTGTGTACACAGCCACAAGTCGTCCTTGTTGTCGTCGTCTTGTCGTCTACCAACAAACTAGACCAATTTTAAAGTCATCGTAAATTGTCACAATGATGCGACAACTCCGCCTTTTTTCCACTTTCCCTTCTCCCCCCTCCACCCTCCGTCATTTACTAACTGCACATTTAGGATTTTGATGACAAATAATTCCATTTGCGGTAAATAATTTCGTTTTTTTATTATCGAATAAATTTTTTTTACCTTTTCATAATTTTTGCCTGAAAGAAAAATGATATGAACGAAATTTTTTGAACAAATCAAATTATGAAAATATATGATTGAAATTGAAAAGAAAAAAAAGATTGCACAAAAGAAATTTTCAGTTTTTATTGAAACAAAATTAATTTCCAATTTTTAATGGATATTTGTTTCAAATTCTTAATGCAATTTTCAATGATTATTTGTTTATTTTGTTTTTATGTGTTAATTTGACTCTTTAATATATATTAAAAGTTAATTTGATCCTTTAGTATAGAGCAAAATAATTAATGAAATTGAAAAAAAAAGTAATTTTTAATTTTAATAGCAAAATTTGAAAAGAATTCATGGCAACAAAAAAAAGAAAAAACGAATATAGTATCACTGGCAATATTAACATATACTTATAAAATTTTTCAAAAGTAAAAATTTGAAATTGAATTAATTTTTTAAGATGAAATCAAAATCACTTCCAATTCTTAATGGATATTTTTTTGTTGGTTACAAAAAAAAAAGAAATATTGTGAAAATTTTCATCAATTGCATTATTACATGATTGTGACACATTGCCTAGACTGAATTATTAAGCATATGGTGACAAACAGTGCTTAAAATTAGATTAATTAGTTTAATGAACATTTTAACATTGCCTAATGGTATCTCGAAATACAATAAAATACAATGCTAATGGTACCCTAAAATACAATAAATTTAAATTAGCAAATTAAACTTGACCCTTTCGTTTTAATCAGAATTTAATTTTGTCGTAACTTGTATGTAAGATAAGATTTAATATATTTTAACTGTAATAAAAACAACAAAATTAGTTAAAAAAATTTATAAAATTTTTTAAAACTTTTTCAATACCTAAATATTAAACTTGAAATTTGAAATCATTTAATCCGAGTACATTTGGTTCAATAAAAGTTTTTGAGTTTCATGAATTCAAGTAATTAATGAGAAATAATCAAAGCAAATGATAATTGTAGTAAAACTTTTGGTAATTGATAACTAGCTAATTGGAAATTTCGTTTTGTTATCATATTGCTGTATCATTTGTTGCTTCTAATTTTAGAATTATTTCCTAATTTGAGATATTGACAAGTATCAATTTCATCTTTTTGGATAGGAAAATTTTGAAACAGTTAAAATTTTAAATGATTTCAAATTCCAAATTTAATATTGGTCTTTTTCATTTCATTTAATTTTTCCTTTTCAAAATTTCCATGTTTTGAATTTTGTTCAATTTCAAATTTTACAATGAAAATATTTGTTGATATGATATGCTTATCCTTTCTTGACAATTTTTTTTTCTATTCCATTTTTTTGTAAACTTTCGCAAAATTTTTTCATTTCAAAAATACATTTTCCAAAATACATCCTTTTTTTTTAAAAAAAATTCTTTAAGTAAAAGGAAAAAAAAAGATTTTGAGTATTCAGATTCATGCAATAGGTCAGGCATTGTTAATTGTAATTAATGAAATTATCATTTAAGAATTAATTTGAAAAGGAAGGAGAGGAATATTTTGAGCGTCAAAGAAAAAACAATTGTTTAATAATTATTAAAAAATAATTATTTAACTGTAATAGTAATTTACAGCTTTTTTCGATTCACAAATATTTGTCATTTATTTGCTTTTTTTTTTGATTTCCTCTTCTATTTTGTACTGCCAGATGTTCCAAATTAAGTAAAACAAAAATAAATTTTATAAAAATTTTACAACTGTAACACTTTATAACCAAAGATTTCTGCTGTTCCTTTTAATGATAATTAATTAATTAATCATGCTAATGGTTGGAATTAAAACTTTCTTCTTTCTCTTTTTTTGATATTGCAGAAATTCAAATACCATAATATTATTTAATCTAACAAAACATTATTTTCTATTTGGTCAAATTTTCAGGTTTCATTTTTTGTTCCTTGTTTTTGTCTCGATAAATTCAGCATCGAATATTTTTATGAAAGATTTAACCTTCCTGTATTTTCCATTTTATTGATTCTCTTGTCTGCTATCATCAGATCACCTTTGACCCTCTTGCATTTTCTATTTACCTGATTCTTTTGTTTGCTATCATCAGCCTGCATTATCCATTTACCTGATCCTCTTGTTTGCTGTCATCAGATCAATCAAGCAAACAATGCAATGATCTCTTGCGATATTATCAGATGTTTAATTTGTTCTGATATTTTTGAACTTACTTGATCCGGAATATATTGAAAAAGGAAAGTTTCCGAAAAAGTCCTTTTTTCCTTCATTAAGAATGAATTATATTACAGCATAATATGCACGATCCGGTATGTTTACGGAATTTTATTCATATTCTGCAGTTATTATCACTTTTTTAATTTGGTTTTTTTTTTGTAAAATTTCCTTTCTCAGATAACGATTATTGAAATGTTAAATAATATATTTCAAATTACTGATTTCAATCCTTTTTTTTGCCAATTTTATTTGAAAAATGAAATATTTCAAAAATTCGAATGACCTTCCAATTTTCCCAAATAGCATTTCCTTATGTTCATTAAAGAACTTTTAGCGTTAATTAAAAACGAATGGAATCTTTATATTTCCGATCGTACATTAATTCCATTTTAATCATTAATGTAATTTTTTGAATTTTTTAGATTTAAAATCTTGCGAAAGTTTATCATTTAATTAACTTTAATGATTAATGATAATGTTTACATTTGCATACTATACAAATAACCATAAGGTTATTTGAGAAAAAAAAATAAACTTCTCATATACATATATGAACTTAATGATTTATCTATATTATCAAATATCATTTTATCAAAAAAAAAAAAGAAAAATCGATTTTTTATCATTTCATGAATATATATATATATATATATACCTATACATGTTACTTCATGGAATTGTACTTTTACGTTATTAAGTTTATAAATTCAAATTTTCATTATTCAATTTCATAAATTCAAAATTTCATCGTTTAATTTCCTAAAATAAAAAAAAGGAAAGAAAAAATAATGCAAAATATGGGAATGGAATAAAATTGTATTAGTTTAAAATGATGATAACAATTATTTATCACTATCATATTACAACGAAGAAATAAAATATGTATGTTCCATTTTAGGATGGAATATTTTAATTATCTCCCTCTCTTTTCGTTTTTTTTTCTTTTCTCTCTCCTTTATACGTATTCTTTCCATTTTTCTTCACTCCCTCTTCCATCTTAAATGGACAAGGAGACTTGCTGACGACTTATCGGGGAATTTCCTCGATCATTTTATTCCACTACAACATTATTTTCGGTTTTTTTTTCCACCCCCAATAAGTCACTTCAATACATTCTATTACATATTTATTTAAGATTTTCCTTTACTATCTCTACATCTGTCATCAATTTGTCAACTGAACAACGATAGGCATTCAATTCGTCCATTTCCGGTTTTTTTTTCTTGTCTATTAATTGGTGTTAATTAGTCGATTTAAATTAAAAAGACAAGAAAATCCATCCACCTTCCTTCTCCCTCTCTCTTTTTCTTCCTCTCTCTCCCTCTCTCCCCCTCTTTCTCCCTCGCTCTTTTTCCCGCTATTTCCGTTCATTATACCAATATATTGGTACCAAATTTAGAATTCAGTAAGGAAATAGTAATGAAATTTTATAACAGTCAAAAATTTAATGGAAACTGACATTATAAAATTAAAAGTTTGGATTGGTATTTCAAATATGTGGTATGAATTTGGTAATAACGATATGATAAAAATCAATGATAAAAAAATTAATGATAAGAAGTAATGTGTTACATTTTTGTTATCAAAAATTAATCAAATAAACCTCACAACGAATGTTCATACGATATATTCCCTTGTAATTACATAAATAATCGGTCATAGTTATGGTTTATAATGAATCTTTGAATTGGTAATAGTTTGATAGATTATTTAGCTAATCGCTTCATGTACGACAAACCATCATACTTCAAAGATTAGTGATTTTAATGTGATTGCTTCGAAGAATGATTATGTGATATTATTTGTTGATGTTGAAAGATATCAGACTATTGTCAGATCGATCACTTTCTAACATTTAATAAAGAAACATTGTCAGTGATTTTTAAGTCTATCTTTGACAACTATTACAAACTGTATCTGTCACGATAAATGATGATAAAGCGAGTTGTTTTAATTTTTATCATTCATCATTCATGAAAAATCAACAATGTTTATCATTTGCTCAAAGAGAGATAAAAGAAAAACACACACATATACGGCGGACATACTTCCTTATCAGCATTAATCGAAATATTTTCGCCTGATTTCATTGAAATTTACAATTCACTATTGTGAGGAGCCAGAAATACACTAAACCCGGAAGAGCTGGAAAGTAAGAACTGCGAAAAAAAAACTAAGTCAAGCTTGCTGATATAAAAAGTATTCTCATATAAAGCAAACGAAAAGTCGTTTATCCCACTAGAGAGTTAATCTCTTCATCAGAAGAATCCTCAATTGCAACACAAATTACTAAAACAATTAGGATGAAGTATTATCGTTCCACCACCTCCGAAGAATGTTTCTCGATTGCCTTACGCAGATGATTTTTGTATGTGAAAATATCACCATCCCATTTTGTAACTGTTTGCTTATCACATACCCATATCTCCTCAGCTACCTAAAAACAGAAAAATACCCAATTATTTCAATTAATAAAATCATTATGTTATATATGAATTGAAAAACTAGTGTCGATGTACTAACATTAAAAAGCACTATTAATGAATGAATCCATCCAAGCAAGTTTGTATCATCAAAATAAATATTGATGATTAATAAAATAGGGGGTAATCAAACGGACACTAATCAAATAAGAAATTCACCTGATGCACCAAACGGAAATCATGAGAAACTAGAATCATCCCTCCTCGAAAACAGTTAATTGCTTCTGCTAATGCATCAATACTTTCCAAATCAAGATGATTGGTAGGTTCATCAAGCAACAAAAGATGCGGTTGTTGCCATGCTAACCAAGCAAATGATACCCTACATCGTTGTCCATCTGATAGTTGCTTCATCGGACAAACCTTGAAAAATTTACTAACAAATAAAGGGGAATAAAATCATTGTCCGAAGGACGATGAGACAATTGTGCCATGCTGGAGAAGTAAAACCGCATGAATAGTATACTAATAAAGACAGGAAAATCTTGGCATTTTATAAACCTTATCATTTATTGATGATAATGTTGTAACTAGTTATACCTGCTCTCTCCCAGTTAATCCATAACGTCCGATAATTTTCCTCATCTCCTCTTTCTCTTTAACGTCTGGAAATGACATCATCAAATATTCCAACGCAGACTTTTCCAGCGGTAATTCTTCGTGCAAATGCTATAAACTATTCATTTTAACAGTTGAAATTAATCATTTAGTACGAAGTATCAAAATGAAATCGATAGGAGAAAACGACTGTTTGAAAAACGATAAAAACATTGGGGAAATTGATTCAATTTGTGGAAATCTAAAACTCAAGAAATAATAGCTCTTGCTTCTCTTATTGCCATCATTTAATGAACCTGATGATAGCGTCCTATTTTGCAATGTGAGTGACGCCTTATAAGGCCATTTGATGGCATCACATCGCCTGATATCAACTTCAATAGTGTCGATTTGCCTGCTCCATTTGGGCCAACTAGCGCGATACGAGTATCAAGATCTATTCCAAAATCGAGATCTTTGTAAATTAATGGCTGAAATATAAAATTACTACTTTTGTTTATTCGTCTATTTGTTATTTACCAAGTTAAAGAAGCAAAAGCGCAGCCGTCCCACCCAATATTTATGCAATATTTCCAACTACTTCGTAATTCAGCAAACCTATTCTCTTTATTGCAAAATATTTCCCAGACAACTATTAACATCCAGTCTTTTATATTTTTATGGATTTTAAGTCCAAATGAATAATCGATTTTCCAAAAGATAAAACAGTACTTACAGTTTTTTCATTATATTGAAAAGATACATGCTGCACCATTATAACGGGAGGTGGAATTGTACCAGGATCAAAAAAGTAAAACTGTTTTACCTGAAAAGTGAATTAGATAACATCCGTTTCCTTATCCGCAACAAAGAAACTTTTAGCAAGGAAAACACAATGTAAATGAATAAAAAATCTAAATGAATAAAACCAACCTTCTCTGTAACAACTTTTTCGGTTAATCCAACAGCTACCATCTTAGCCATCGTTTTTTCTTTGCTCTGAGCTTGACGGGCAAGTTTAGCGCTGCCATGCCCAAATCTTGCGATGTATTCCTGCACAAAATTTTCTTGAAATAATTTAATTAATCAGATAAGCATATATTTAGCTCCTAAATTGATAAAAGACCAAGCAAAAACAAGTCCGAGAAAAAAAAAAAACTAACCTTCATGTGCTGCAATTGATCTTGTTCCCACTTGTAACGTTTCATTTGATTTTCAAGCAATTCGGTCCGGGTGCGTACGTATATATCATAATTACCCTAAAAATATTTCATTGTTCATTAACTCATATCTCCACTGATGACCTCTGACAACCGAATAAATGGTTGAACTGCTAATACTGTAAGCGTCTGGAAAATGATATTCGATCGTATTCAGCATGCATTATATACAGTTCAATTTCCAATAGTTTTCACTCTTTCTTTTCTTCCCCTCTCATCCCTATACATCATATGTTTACTCCAACAAGCAAAAAGTTTAAAAAATGCTACAACTAAGAAAAATAAGTGGAAGCAATTAATAACATATCAAATACTAAAGAATTAAACTCACTCCGTAGTATTCTAACTTCCTTTGGAACAAATGAATGATATTTGTGCAGACACCATTCATAAAATCCTGTGAGTGCGAAACGATTAATAAAGTCCTTTTGTACCTTAAAAATGTATGAAAACTGATATTTGTTGTTTTAGAGAAAATAAGTAAAAAGATCGTAAATGCCTAAACTTCTGCTATCTCCTTCAATAGAAAGGATACGACAAGCTTGGTTAATCTGGCTATCACGTGAGACAACAAATTGACCAAATCTGTTAAACACAGCATAATTTATAAGCTATAAACAGCAGGCACAGATTGTCAGCAACATCCATCGAGAAATGCCAGGTTTTATTCCATTATTCCGCCTATTTATAGAAAGATGAAATAAATATTCGACATACGCGGCAAGCTCTTTTTCAAGCCATACACAGGCTTCCAAATCAAGATGATTGGTCGGTTCGTCCAATAATAACAGTGATGGTTTCAGATACAGTGCTCGCGCTAACGCAATTCGCATTCGCCAACCTCCTATAATACACAGTATAATGCCGTCCACAACCCAAATTTAAAGCAGGATTCTAGCTTTACAAATAACAAAAAGAATTCAAAACTTATGCATACCTGAAAAATCCTTGCATTTCTTAAGCATCATTTGCCTAGTGAAACCAAGACCATACAATATTTCGGCAGCCTTTGCTTCTGCTCTATCAGCATCCATTTCTTCCAGACGATCATAGATATCTAATAGTTTTTCTTGACTTTCTGCAAAATAAATATTTGGATATATTTCAACCAATGAAATCTTTCTGAGTCGCAATATATGGGAAGTTATGAACCATCGTCCGACGAAGTCGCCAATTCCTCAGCTTGCTTCTCGAGTGCTTTTCTCTGTTCATCAACATCGCACACTACCTTCAATGAGTTTCGGCTAAGTTTTAGTCCATATTTGTTTTGTTATTGCATTTTTTTAATTTATCACAACTCAAATTATTTGAAATTTTGCTTAAAATACACACCTTGAGGGCACTATCATTACAAGCAGCCATTTCACGAGATACCAAGAACATATCGACGTGATCAGGAATTGGCATTTCCCGGTGAAATATTGCTTGCATCAAAGTAGATTTTCCTAAAATAATCCAGTAAGAAAATACAGTGATAAGTTGTAATGACTTAGGAAAAAAAAAGAAAAAAATTCATAAGACCAACCACTTCCGTTTAAACCAATAAGACCATAACGACGTCCCATGTTTAATTCAAGTTTTGTGTCTGTCACAATTTCGCGTCCGTGAAATGTCACCGTCAATCCTTCTATTTTTAGATCCATAGATCTGAGTTTACATAATTTTTAGAAATTTCGCAAGGAAAAAAAAACAGGGGAGCTCCAGTCTGACGTTATTAGCTCCAATTTGACGACTAACGAGAATTTATTCAGCATTTATGCAAACTAACTGAAAGAAAGCTTCAGAAAAAACATCTGCTTCTAATATATTTAACTTAAGATGGTTGGTTCTATGGTTCTATCAGAAAGTGGTTCTATCAGAGTCCACCTACCAGAATCGCTTCAAAGTATTTTCATTTCAATTTCTGAATATTGATGAAAATTTCTCTTAAAAAATTACAATGGATGAGAAGTTAGTGCTCCTGCAACTGATCTCGCCTTCGCATTTTCCAATTCCATTTTTTCAAGCATCGCAGCAGCTACATCGATAACATCATTTATAGATGGTATTGTCATAGAAACGTCTGCAGCGCATAGTCATTAATTTGGCTCAATACCGTGCATTCAACAGCGATTTATGAATAAACTGCATGCATTCCTTTTTCATATATACCAAAACAAAAGAAAAAATTTCAGAACCTGACGGAAAATCTAAATGATTCCGGCAAATTTTAACTTGACCTTCCACACAATTTTCACCTTTCGCTGAACAGACGCAAAACTTCCATCACATTGGGAACTGCACTATAAGGTGTAGCATTTTTATACGCACTCTTCAGTGTTAAGCTTTTTATTGACAGTGTTAGTGAGGGAAAATAAACGAGATTTAACAAATGATTACCGCCATTTTGGATATGTGGGTTTTCTTCTCGAGCAGGTGACCCGATACCTTCGTTATTTTCCTGCAAATATATTACCTGAAAACTTGTGATGGACGAACAATATGAAGATTACGATGGGCACTCTAAATATCAACTTCTTGACTGTCATTCGACACATTCCTACAAGATACAAGTAGCATAATTTTTATTAATTCTCTTGAAAGAAGCTCTAATAATAGCTCTTTTTTATCAAAGCACGCACGATAAGCTGTATTAACTTTTTATTTCACAAATGTTCAAAGGTGTAATGTTCGTATAGCAACTATATTTAGTGTAATACAGCATTTATGTATAATTTGTATGATATAAACATGTGAAACTTCACCAGTTCTTTAATTAAAAGGTTGAAATAATTAGATCACTACAAAGTTTCACATATTTATATCATAAAAATTATGAATAAGTGAAATATTAACTGTGTCATGCATGCAAACACAATCGGAGTATCTGTAATGTACTCTCTGTAATAGGGTGTGACATAGATATTTTAGACACCATGCGATTGTTAAACTACCCTTTATCATTACTTACTTTACGCATATATCCTATACCACTTTTATCACTATTTAGTTGACGCATACATAATTGCGGTTCTTGACATACATTTCACTTTCCATATACTCAAGAAATAAAAATCCGATTCACTGATTATCATAATCCTAACAAAATGGCTCATATTACGGAAAGGAAACAAACGATGTTTGTTAACTCACCAATTTTTGGTCGCGGAATCTATTACGATTCTTAACCGCCTGTTTCTTAGCAGCATCACGTCGTTTTTTCGCATCCGAAGGCATCGATAATCAGACTACGTTTACGTTTGCCCAAGTCTAAATTTCAGATATTATCGCAATTACATTACATTTCGCATTTTCATACAACGTATTCATTGATATATAATGTTTGTTATTAATATATAATATTTAAATTATATTTACGGTTATTCAAAACTAAATTTCGAGCATCAACAATGAAGATACAAATTATATTCTCCATGTCATCAAAGAAAAAAAGTAATTGCATAAATTTTTGTAATAATCTTCACAAAACACACCTTAAATGTATCTAGACAAAGTTAATCATTTAAGTTTTCGCAGTTTAAAAACTTCAAATAAAAAAATTAGATAAATCGTTCAATTTCGCAAACATATTA